GCAGAGACAGCAGGTGTACCAATGTCTGTTCCCACAACCCAGCACAGGCATTCACCCTGGATCCACCATGGACGACACAACACTGATTTAATACACCATTCCAGAGCCCAAAGCACAGCATGGGGCATTGGGTTTATGTGTCAATATATTGGCTGCAGGAGCTAAAGCTGCTGTCTGTGAGGAGATGACACTTTCCCCATGTCCAACAGAGCCAATGCCAGCTGGCTCATGACAGACCTGCCACAGCCAAGGCTGAGCACAGATTCCCCTGCAGCCTGAGGTGCAGCCCATGGCAGCTGTGCCCAGCAGTCCCTGGAGATCCAGGGGGGAGCAGAGATCCACCTGCAGCCCTGGAGGAGCCCACACCAGAGCAGGGGGATGCCTGAAGGAGGCTCACCACATGAGAAGCCCTCCTGGCAGGACCTGTGGCCTGTGGAGAGGAGGCCAGGCTGGAGAAGGTTTGCTGATAGGACTTGTGACCCTGTGGGGGGCCCATGCTGGAGCACCCCACTCCTGAAGGAGTGCACCCTGTGGAGGGGACCCAGACTGGAGCAGTCTGTGCCTGAAATACTGACATACAAGTACTCACTGGACAGTACTGACATTGGAGCAGCCTGCTCCTGAAGGACTGTCTCCTGTGGGAGGGACCCCATGCTGGAGGAGGGGAAGAACATGAGGAAGAAGACAGTAGCACAGATAATCTGTGATGAACTGACCTCAACACTCATCCCCTATCTGCCTGTGCTGCTGGAGGGAAGAAGGCAGAGAAACTGGGAGTAAAGTTTAGTCTAGGGAGAAGGGAGAAGTTGGGGAAGGTGTTCCAAGATCTGTTTTCTTTTCTCAATATCCTATTCTGATATTAATTGGCAAGAAATTAAATGTATTTTCCCTAAGCTGAGCCTGTTTTGTCTGTGATGGTAGTTGCTGAGTGATCTCACAGTCCTTATCTCAACCCTTGAGTTTTTGTTAAGTTTTTCTACCCCTGTCTGGTTAAGGAGGGGGAGTGATAGAGTGGCTTGGTGGGAACTGGTTGAAGTTAACCTACTACACAGAGAAAGATCTCCATGTTTCCAAGGAAATCTGAGATGACAGACTTTAAAGTAAAGGAGTCCAATAACTCACTCTTCTTAATCTATCACACAGAAGGTTTAAAGAATGATTTGTTTAAAAAACTTTACAACTCCCTGGGGAGAAATTGAAGTGGGAATATTTCAGACCAAAGAGTCAAAAATGTTTCAAAATGAGTTAGCAAAGATATATGAAAAGAGCAAGGATGGCAGCTAGCCAGCTAGCATGTATGTGCCTGGCAGTGAATGTAGCCAAGGACAGGTTCCTAAAGGGTGTGTGAAATCTTCATCCACCTGTACCATTAAATCAAAATCTCATTTTTCTAATCAAAGTCCTTGTTCTACCTCAAACAGGAAATTATCTAGAAAAATGTCACCAATGTCTTGTAACAGAGAACACAATAAATGATTGCAATAGTTTTCTCTAATTTAAGAATCATCTCCAGCAAACAAAATTACTGACTTAACCCTTTTAATTTGTGGCCGCCTATATCACCATTCTTATCCACTCTTTTCTTATGTATGGCTCCCTGATTTCCAGTGGTGATCCACCAGCAGGCTTCCTAAGCCTAATGCAAGTTGTCTTGCAGCAGTGCTGCTTCCGCACCTTCAAGCATCATCCTGCAATGACCCACCTGAAGTATTTGCCGCTCCAGCTGCGAGTTGCCTTTGCATAGGAACATTGTGTGCTGCAACAACAACTTCGTACTCTCTGTTTTCCCAGCACCACTCTCTCCACTGCCAAGGAAAAGCAAAATAAATTCCATCAACCTTAAAGTATAGCTGTTCTGCCCCTTATGGCTCAAGTGCTCAATCACTTGAGAGTGTTCTACAAGAGTTTCACAAGTTTTTCAGCAAAATCACACGTGTGAGTAAAAACTCACACAGCACAGCTTTACACAGGGTGTCCCATGATGTTCTGATCCTTCATCAGGGAGCTTTTCCCCCTCCGTAAGGGAGTATAGCTACACCCCATGCTGTCATTTCTGGATGGGATGCAGTATTCAGACCATTTGCTCTGCTTCAGAAGTCATCTGGTACATCAGCTCCTTTGCATACGCTGGAGCCAAAAACTTCCTCTTTCTCCAGAGAGATCTTCCCTATCCACATCACATCCACACCTGGATACTGATCAGGAGATGCTGTGGCAGTCTCAGACCTCGGATGTTTCACACATCCACGTGCCAGACAGCTGGGAATGTGGGTGCAGAGCTGCCCACACTCCCACAGTGCCAGCAGTGCACGTCACCGTGCTGCCACACGTCCACGTCACTCTGCTGCCACACATCCACAGCGCCTCCACCTCCAAGTCAAACAACCAGCCCTTGGAAAGTGCAGTTTCCCCTGTCCTGGGAGAGGGAATGTACAATCAGTGAGACAACATGTCCTTAACTGACAACCCCACACCAGCTGAGAACTTCAGCATATGCATGGGAAAAAATAAATGCAGGAAATGCTGGAGGTATACTTGAGGGCAGGTCCCCATTTCCTTTGAGCTGACCTTTGAGCATGTGGTGTGGCTTTACTGGTTTGTAGCTCCCAGCAGCTCTCTGCTTGTATCAAATACGTGTCATAGGTGGCTAGAAACCTCAAGTACTACAGCAAGATCAGGTCCCTGATGTCAAGCACAGGTCAGAACAGCACCATCCAAATACATACAAACAAAATAAGTCCATTTTGCCAGATGAGAACGTGCCATCCAGTGCCCCTACTCATTATGTCAGGTTTATTTTTTTCAGTAACGTCCCTCCTTCACAAAAAACCCCCATATCCTACAGCACTTCCATGATTCAAACTTGACCTTAGACCCTCCAACAAGCACACCACCTTCACAAGGTCCTGCAAGCACAGCAGATGTGTAACTGCCCCCAGCTCTAAAGAAATGCAAAGTCATCTTCAGATGACCCAAGTGCTGTACTGCAGCACATGCAGGCTATGACTAATGTCCTTTGCAACTGGAAAGGCAAGAGGAGCCAATAGAATTTGCAGCTGAAGAAAATTTGGTAGCAAGGAAAACTTATGATCTGACAGGAGCTGCTGCATCCAACATGACCTCTGAAGAATGCTATCCAGACACTAAAGAGACTTCAAGGGACAGCAGATCCTGGTGTGTCCCTGTGCTGTTGTGGTGAACTGTGGTCTAACAGGAGCAACCTCATCCTCCCTGTTTGCCCCAACTCTGCTCATGTAGGAAAACTTGTTAATTAGTGTTTTACCACCCATAGAGAGGAAAACCACGAACTTCCTGTGACAGTAGCACAGAGACCAGGTAAAAGGTTGCAAGATGCACAGGAGTATATCACACTCATCTCTGAACTGCTGGCAGAAAACAACCAAGCCACTGACCGCATGGCAAATTCTCATGGGTTACTCTTTCTTGTCTTCCACCTCCCAAGACAAATACAATGATTGTTCTCTATGCCCCAGAGCCCTACCAGCAGCACCTCTTGCACCTGAGGACTCCATGGCCACCACTTGCTAAGAGCACTTCATGTAAAGCACAGGCACCAATGGATTGAAGGCTACAGAAATGAGTGGGGCTCAAGTGCCCCTCAAAGTCAGCTCCCAGTCCCACCAAAACACTCAGCACTGATTCAGAATTTGACTTCCACACCTTGTACACTTAAAGTACTGATAAAATTATCAGAAGGCAAATAAAAAGGAGAATTAAATCAAACAAGCTGGCAAGTAGCATTTTAACTTAGATGACATTTAAACTGTTCTCTACAATAGCCAGTTGTAGAGAAGAGGCAGTTAATGTTTCAAGGCTTTCTTCTCAGTGTTCAATGCCTTCTCTGATAGTTGATGTTGTTTGAGGCTTTCTCTGCTAAATGATGCTACCTGCTGCACTGCAGAGACCCAGCAGAACAAGAGTGTCTGGATGGGGTGATATGTCCATGATACTGGTAGTCTCTTTGGTTAAAATCACTGACTTCTAGTGCACAGGACTGCCCACTACTTTAAAATCCTCCCCCACCAGTTTCCCGAAGGCCTTAGAGCAGAAAAACATGTTTTAGTTCTTCCTGATCTTTGGTTACATTTGGGAAGCTCCACTTTGTGAAAATTAATTCCTTACATTATCATCCTTCCAACTTTTAGTACAGCTTTTGCCATGGCAGCTGTGTTGCCAGATCAGAGCACCCAATGGTTTTTCCTGGGAATGAATTCCAGTGGCTGGTTCCCCACCAGAAGTGAACCTGGCATCTTTACTGTTATAAAGACTGCTGGTCAAGCTGCTCCACAAAAGCCAGTTTTTTCTCCTCAAACCTTCTCAAGACGTGCCCGCTAATCTGTCTCGAAAGCGGGATGAAGGACGTGTTGCCAGCGCAGATGGATTTTGACTCACCAACAGAACCGGAGAAGAGAACCTGAACCTGGGCAGGGAGATCCCGCCGAGAGCTCGNAACGGGCGGCGTGGGGCTGGGACCGGAACCGGGACCGGGATCGGGATCGGGACCGGGATCGGGATCGGGATCGGGATCGGGATCGGGATCGGGACCGGGACCGGGATCGGGACCGGAATCGGGATCGGGATCGGGATCCGGATCGGGACTCGGATCGGGATCCGGATCCGGATCGGGGTCGTGTCCCGTCCTGTCCCTATTTCCACCCGTGGAAAGGTCTTGTGCAGGATGAACCCCTGAGCAGCCCTGCCTGATTTTGGTGGTAGCCCCGCTCTGGGCACAAGGCTCAAGTGCATGACCCATAAAGATCCCTCTGGCTAAATTCGTCCCTGATTCCACCGAGTATTTCCCGAATCCATGTCGCAGTCAGAGAAAAAAAATTGTCTAACGTTTAGTTGATGTTGTTCAGCGTGTTCATGGTTTTTTTTTTTTCGTTTGGTTTGGGTTTTAGGTTTTTTGGGTTTTTTTTACTAGAAACATTTATTTCTTTAAAACATATTTCACTTTAATAAAAAAAAGCAAACAACAAATCAAAAAAAAACCAAACCAAAATGGAACCCTAATAATGAGTAAAACACTTTGGTTTTGGTCAAGAAAAGCATTCCGTTCAATCCCTCAAGACTTTTAATGGATCTTTTCTCATCTGCTGAAAAGACATAATATTTGGTTATGACTGGTCCAAAATACACTTTTAATACCCGGCAGCACAGGTGAATTGAAGGAAGGCTAGGTGCGTGTTTTACTTCCAGTATTAACTCCTGCAATATTTACTCCTCAGGGTGGCTGAGGACTGGCTGTGGGCTCCAGAGTTCCCCCTTTCCCTTCCTCTTTCTCTTAGCTCACAGTGTGGGATGTGAGGCCATGTGGCCCTTGGAGCTGGCCCACCATGTGTTTACATTCCTGGGACATCAAGAGAGGCTGTGCTGCAATAAGAACAGGACATTATTTTGATGGTACTCCAGAAATTTAGAAATGGTGAAGGGGGTGCTGCACTACGGTGCATTATAAGGTAGTTAACAGTAACAGAGGGTGTTCAGTGGTTTTTGGATGTGAGCTGGGGAGAAGCAAGCTGGAGCAGTTCTGTAGGTGAAGTGTTTTCTAGTGTACCCACAGGCTGCAGACCTGACACAGGTTATATTGTGCAATAATAACAGGAGTGTTTGAACTTCTTTATGTGAGCAGTAGATGGTCAAACCTGGTGTAACTTGTTTGTTTTAATTATTGTGTGTTAAAAGAAATTGGTCTGCAGAATGAAAATCTTGACTGCAGTCTACACGGGCTAGAGGTGCGAATGGCAGTGCTTTAGTCCTTTCCTGGTGAGTACTTTGCAACTGCACTTGAATCATGGAGTGGTTTGTGTTGGAAGGGACCTTAAAGACCTTTAAAGACCTTTGCAGCAGAGCAAAGCCCAAGGACACCTTCTGCAGACAGGGAGGTTCAGGGCCCCATCTAGCCTGGCTTTGAACACGTCTGGGGAAGGACTAATGCTAAGCTTGAATTCCCTGGTTAATGCTAAGCTTGGTGTTCCCTGCAGTGCTGCCTCTCCATCCACGCCAGGTCTGCCCTGTTTCACCAAGATGTGGTCTTAGCTAGGTTTGTGGTGCTGTAAGTGAATATGAAGGTAAATCTCTGGAGAAGCTGCTGCTACTGTAAAACACTGCACGTGTGCCTCAGCTCTCTGGACTTTTGGCAGTTCATTGAATGAGTGCTGGTACTAATTTGATGTGAAACTTTTGTTGAGTTTTGTTGAGTTACGTACCTGAAATGTCTCTGGAAGATGGTGTTTGATAAATCTCCTTCTCTATGATGACACATCTTTCTGAATTAATTTATCTTATCCACGTGGGAAACAGAACTTTTCAGAGGCAGCTCAGCTTCCAGTGAAACTTCAGACTTGGAGCTGGGCCAAGTGTGCAACTGCTTGCCCTGCCTTTTCCTCAAAAGAACAGTATCTAACTGGTGTTACCTAAAACATGCCTCTTTCTCTGAGTGTGATAAACAATGTTTTTCTGTGCAACAAAATCATGATACTGTAGCAAAAGAGCAGAGCAAGAGCAAAGCTGGTGTGATTCACAGCAATTGCTTGCCCTCTTTCACCTCCAGGAGCACAAAATACTGTTTGAAAATGACAGAGAAAACCGCTTGCTTCTCCAAGGGAAAACAAGCAAGAGTGCTCTCTTCTCTTTCCCTGTGGTAGGGATGAAATCCTGCTATGCTCCCCTCACAAGACAAATATTATGTTTATTTCCTTCTCCTTTCCACCCACAAACTTGCTTGAGTTTAACAAGAATTTCACACAAAGAATGTGGAGGGCAAAGCACAGGAAGCAGTGGTTTGCACGTGGGGTTGTGAACTGAGATTTGCTTACAGCTGTATTTGTCAAGTACCACTCTTGCTTTCACAGCCTGGTCTCTCTAATGGTGTTCCTCTGCTTGATGCAGGGCCCTTGTGCCCATGGAAGGGAATGCAGAAGGAAACTGCTAATAATGGTTGCTGGCAGCTGACTTCCCTTATTTCCTAAGAAGGTGTAGAGTTTTTATCTCAGAATCCTACTCTGCAACATAGGTTGTTCTTTTGTTGTGTGCCCGTCTTGCTTGGCTCTTCAGGATCCTTTGCCTCCCCGTAAGTCAACCCTGTCTCTGCCATGAGTGCCTCATCCCTGCCATTTGTGGTTGGAGCAAACACTGTGGAAGATCAGCGGGCTCGCTGGGAGAGAAAGCGCAGCAGGACAGCCAAGGAGCTGCTGGAAACTGAATACAAATACCTCGAGCAGCTGGATTTGGTGCTCACAGTGAGTATTTCTGCCCCTTCTGATATGTGGGTGTCTGCAGACAGCACATACTTATTTGTGTTGTCATAGGGAAGGGTCAAGAGCAAGACTGTGGTACATCCCTAATGCCTGGGACACTCGCTGTGGCTGAAAGGGTTTTTTTCTTTTTCTCTTTTACCTCCTCTGTAATATTCAATACCTTATGAGTTTGGCTTTTTTGCCTTATTCTGTACACAGACATAAATCTTTTCAGTTTTAATCGAATAGTGGGCTTGCTCTAAGATGCCTGAGATGCAGGGACACAGACAAGAAAAACATTATGGACAAGATGGTGTAAAACAGATGCATTGGAGGATACTGGGTGCTGTAGTTCTGTTCCATGTGTTTAGAGCTATTGTCAAAGCTTACATCTGATGGTGGATATCTTAGGTAGACAGTCACAATATTCGATATCTTTCCAAGCCAAAGAGTGTTCAGACTGCAGCTTCTGGCTTCTGCTGTGTGCCACAAGTTGCCTTTGAATAACCTCAGGAGTTAATAACCTTTGCAGCCTTCCAGTACTTAAAGGGGGCTTATAAAGAAGAAAGAGAGTGACTCTTTATACAGGCACATAGTGATAGGACAAGGAGGAATAGTTTTAATCTGAAAGACAGTAGGTTTAGATTAGTTGTTAGGAAGAATTAATTTTCTGTAAGGGTTGTGAGGCACTGGCACAGATGGCCCAGAGAAATTGTGGATGCCCTATCCCTGGAAGTGACTGGCCAGGTTGGGTAGGGCTTGGAAGGTGACCAGGCTGGAACTAAATGGTCTTTAGGATCCTTTGCAATCCAAACCATTCAGAGATTCTGTGATGATTTGTGAATGCTACCAGTACGATTGTTTGTTGTTTTTTTTTTTTGTTTCATTCTTAGTACTTTGTGACAATTTTAAAGGCCAAAGGAACACTGAAACCTGCTGTGTTGGAAACTATATTTGGACCCCTGGAGTCCTTATATTCAGCAAGCCAGTAAGTGGACACAGGATGCAATTCCTGTAATTATACTGGGAGGACTCTGTGTTGACGAGAAAGATTTGCGGAAATAAGGCTAACACCTTGTAAAACAGGCATTCACTCCTAGCACTTCTAGCCTTGGTGGCATTTGGAGCTGTCCACAGGAAACTCCTGATCTGTATCACATATTGGGGTACCCAATTACTGGACAGTGGCTTAAGCTCAATAAGTCTGCTCCACAATGTGTTCTGTGGCTTAGTCTCTGACCTCCAAGCACAAATTTGGCATAGAAACTGGATTTGAGGTGGAGAATGGTAAAGGCAGATCAGCAAAGGAATTAATCAGAAGGAGCTGTGAAAACACCATCAGTAATGTATCCCTCACAAGCTATCTTTGCTCCTTGTGCAGTGTTCTGTCACTTCACCTGGAGAAAGGGAATTTGGGAGCAGGACTGGAAAATTTTTGTCAGAGTCTGGATCTTTATGGCCACTATGCTGAGAATTTGGAGCAGACCAATAAAACCTTGAAGGTAAATATCTACTTTAGACTTCATATGGTTTATCTTTTTCCATTCTGTTAAACTGCCACATCATTTGTCTTCTGTTTCTGGAGATAAGTGTTCTAACTTTTTCTGGGCTGATGAAATTCAGGCTTTTTTCCACAATAAAATGGTGAAAACTTCTCTACTTACTTAGAGCTTCAAATTTCTGATGCTTTTTTCAGGTGTTTGTGTATGTATATACATATGGTGAGGCACTGCTTTCTCAGACTTCTTTATTTACTCCCACTCCTTCCTAAATGGCAAGTCTAGAGAGTTTCCAGGATACAGTGATCTCTTTCTAGGAATTTTCATGCCTTCTGGTCTTTCCCACTACCACCAACGGTATCCTAGCAGTGGGATTTCCTTTTCCTTCATATTTTTTTTTCCTGTGTTGAAGACTATTTTTCCTTCCCACTTATATCTTGAAATACAACCTGTTTTCAAGAAATTTCAGCAGAATATATATTTATTCTGAGGTCCTGACGGCTGTATCTGGAATTTAAACCACTCAACTCACAGTTTTGTCTGTGCTTGTTCCCAGATGTAGAATGTGCTGGGGTGTTTCCCTCCTCTTGTCTTTGCATGCATGTATTTATGCTTTTGATTTTCCAAGAGAAAAAGCCATTATGGATACTTGTCTTAAGGTGATGGGAGGGCAGATCTGCACTGCTTTTTCTTGAAAGGCATGGCAAAAAAGCCACAAGTGCACTCCTTGTGTTCCTAACAAGGCCAAGCTTCTCTTTTTCTTTAATTGGGGTGGGAGATATCACTTCCATTACCTACTGGAATGTATGGTTAGGAGAAAGGGAATGGCTTGCCTATAGCCATAAAAGAAGTGGACAGGAGTCCTAAACTCTAAGGTGAAGTGTTCCAAGCTCTGGTGCAGACTAGGGCATTTTCTTCAGACATTTTTTCTGCAGTCTTAAGGGTATATCCCTTTTTTGTTGCACACAGGAGCAAGTGAGGAAAAATAAGTCATTCCGGCGGTTTAAGAAACTCCAGGAGACTCGACCTCAGTTTCAAGGGAGGGTGCTAGAGGATCTGCTTTGTTTGCCCCTGCAGAGGCTGCACCAGTAAGTAAACAACTGTGAATCTTCAAGGGATTAGCATAAGAAGGGAAAAGGGAATGTAACACTTTCTTTGTTGCTATGAAAGTTGCCTATTGTGTCCCAAAATCAGAGCATAGAGACAGCAGTGAGACAGTGTGAGGATGTGCCTGTAAAGTGGAATCAGTGTACACGGATGGGAGATGATGCAGGAAGGTATTTGTGTTTAGAACTGGCTCCTTCCTCTAGCTCTTGGGTTGAACTGGAGGCTTTCTGCTATCTCAGTAAGCTACTGAAGTTTGGCCCTGAAGCTGGCTGAAATGCTGCAGAAATTATGGTCTCTGCCAGTGATGCTTTTGCTCCATTTTTATGCAGATACAGTCCTGGAGCATTGTGACTCCTGTAGATGGGTGTTTTTGGAGAGAAATTAGATTAATGAACACAGGAGAGCTTCTCTTTCCTCTCTGGTTATCAGGGCTGTATGCTTTCCTCAGATTTGATGACTATCACATTTGTCTGAGCCTGGACAGATCCACTCAGAATCACTGCATATCCCTCTTGAAGCACCATGCCTTCCACTTTTCAAGAAATGTTTCGGCAACATCATTGGAACATGTGTGATTTTTAGGGTTGTCCTAAAAATGCAGAGGCATGAATTGGATTTAATGATCCTTGTGGATGCCTTCTAGCTCAGGATATTCTATGATCATCTCCCCTTTGAAGGTGCAAACTGTGTGCTTTGATGCACTCAAGGGCAGCCCTTTCTTGGGGAAGGTATGGGTAATAAAGCTGTTTTTCTGGGAACCCAAATTCTGCTGCTAACAGTAGCTGTTTTTCAATTTAAAGCAAATTTGAGAGATTGCACACCTAATTTCACTGAAAATAACTTGGAGAGATCATACCACAGTCTTTCATGTAACTTTTTGTAATGTTTTTAATCAGCTTGGCAGAAGCACATATTAAGCTGATTGGTGGGTTTTTATTGTAATTCTTTGGATACTTTTAAATTTGCAAAACAGCAGTCTATCTGTTGCTATCCACCTATTTGGAAAAATAGTCTTTTTGATAGTCTAATTTTTTTCATTAATCACCTCTATCATATTCAAATTTCTCTAAAACTCTGTTAACATATGCACTAGATCATATGAATTCTGCCAGTTTGTGAATCTGTTAAGTTCCTTCTGTTTGACTTTACTGGAAGAAAGCATTTGGAAAGATCTTATCCTCTCCAGTAAAGACTGGAAAGGAGAAAAAAAAAAAAGAAGGCGTGTCCTAGTTGTTATAGAAATGTTTTTATTTTCTTGTGTGGGCAGGAAATATGGTATGAATGCCACCATTCATATACTATTAAACATAGATAGTTCAAAGAGAAACTTTTTGCATATTGAAGGCTTGTTTATCTGAATTCTGAGAGAGCCTCATGATCTTAAGTGATTTGTGAGTCTGTTTCTACTGGATCCCCAGGAAAAGCCAAAGGTTTGCAGATGTACAAAATACTTGGATTATTTTATTTGAGACATTTGATGATAAAATGAATGTGAATGAAGTGTGACCAAAACTGCTTGGTTAGGTTTACTCTGTCTCTTGGCTGAGTGTTGTTCACCATGCTGTTGCTAACAGGAGGTGCTGCTGCTTTTCCTGCTATCTTGTGAATTAAACCTGCTCTCTCCACCTCAGGTACAAGCATTTCTTCAGAGACCTGCTGGAGAACACCAGCCCAGACACTGCTGACTACCAGAAACTTGCAAGTATGATTCCACCTGTAAATGCTGACTCTTTGATCACTGATACCCTCCTTACTAAGAATATTTTGACTCACATACTGCCTGCTTCCAAAGGAAAATCCTCTCTCTCTGGGGTTCTAGTGGATTACTATTTTCCTTCTCCATCTTGATCAAGATGTCCCTGAGAACATGTTATGAATAAAAATATGGAATAACTGCCAATAATAATAATAATAATAATAATAATAATAATAATAATAATAATAATAATAATAATAGTAATAATATAATGGACTACTAGTTCGGTTGGAGAAATGGCAGCTCTGTGTTTTTTTAAACTCTGCTGCTTGTGAGGCACTTGAATGGTAGCTCATGGAGTTTGTTGATACCCCATTCCTGGAAGAGTTCAAGGCCAGGCTATGGTCCTGAGCAATGTGATATATTTGAAAGTGTCCCTGCCCATGGCAGGCAGGTTAGAAAATGGTGATCTTTAAGGTCCCTTCCAACCCAAACTATTCTCTGACTCTCTTGGTCAGGTGCCTTAATTTCCTAGGATAATTAGTGTCCTTCATGCCATATCCAGTCACTAGAGGTGTCCCCCAGGGCTCAGGGTCAGTCCTGTTTAATATCTTTATTGATAAGCTGGATGAGGGAATCAAGAGCAGCCTCAGCCAGTTCACAGATGGCACCAAGCTGTGTGGGAGTGCTGATCCTCTGGAAGGCAGGAAGGCTCTGCAGAGGGATCTGCACAGGCTGGATCCATGGGCTGAGGCCAGTTGTGTGAGGCTCAACCAGGCCAAGTGCTGGGTCCTGCCCTTGGGTCACAGGAGCTCCCTGCAGCTCCAGGCTGGGACAGAGTGGCTGGAAAGCTGCCCAGTGGGAAAGGCCCTGGGAGTGCTGGTCAACAGTGGCTGAACATGAGCCAGTGTGTGCCCAGGTGGCCAAGAAGGCCAAGGACATCCTGAATGTATCAGCAATGATGGGCCCAGCAGGACCAGGGAAGAGCTTGTTCCTCTGTGCACTAGTGAGACCACACATCAAATCCCAGTTTTGAGCCCTTCACTGCAGGAGAGACACTGAGGTTGCTTGAGCAAGTCCAGAGAAGGGCAGTGGAGCTGGGGAAAGGTCTGGAGCACAAGTCCTGTGTGTTGGGACTGAGGGAGCTGGGGGTGTTTAGTCTGGAGAAAAGGGGAGACCTGATCACTCTCTAGAAGTACTTGAAAGGAGGTTTGTGACCAGTTGGGGATTGGCCTCCTGTCCCAGGTAACAAGCAACAGGACAAGAAGAAATGGCCTCCAGCTGTGCCGGGTGAAGTTCAGGATGGACACTGGGAGGCATTTCTTCATGGAAAGGGTTGTTAAACACTGGAATGGACTGGCCAGGGAAGTGGTAGAGTTACCATCCCTGAAAATGTTCAAGAAATGACACTCAATGCCATGGTCTACTTGACCATCACCTTTCATTGACAAGGTGGTGTTCAGTCCTAGGTTGAACTCAGTGATCTGAGTCGTCTTTTCCAATCTAAATTATTCTGTGTTTTTTACAAGCAGTTAACACCACTTGTAAGGCATTTTCCTGTTTTTGCTTCCAAATTCAGAAAATTATTCTTCTCTCTGATGTTTCATTGGCAAATGTTTTCTAGAACTGCAGAACTGTTGGAAAGAGGCCTCTGAAAGGGATCAAGTTCAATCTCTCACAGAAATTCCTGAATAAAGCTGTTGTTGATACTTGATTTAAATATTTTCTTAGGAAGATGTATGAGGTGAAATACACATTCATTTGTGGTAACTTTAGAGCATGCTGCTATAATTTCAGAGACGGTGAAATCTGTTTGTGAGGTATCTCACTGGGTCCAAGACGTCTTTGATAAGAGAGAGAATTCCTTGCAGCTACTTCGGGTTCAAAAATTGCTTAAAGGACAAAAGACTCAGGTTTTGACTCCAGGTGGGTCTTACTGACAGCTCTGTTTTTCATCTGCCATAATGAGACACATGGACATATGTTCTCCTTCATTTCTGACTCAACTCAAATTAACCAGTTTCCTCTTCTTCCTAAATTCCACAGATAGGTGGTAAAGAAATATGACTACTAATTCAAGCACTTTTCTTTTTTTTTTTTTTTAAAGAATTTTTGAGTAAGGCTAAGCAACAGCTTAGTTGCCTGACATTCAGATAGAAGAAGCTCATGACATGTGGTTAGAAAGTTAGGAACCCAAGAAGATCAGGAGTGTAAGTCTGGGGTGGGAATGAAAGAGACAGTAAATTCTTTGGCAGAGTGTAAGTATGTTATTATCCCTACTCCATTGCAGGAACCATAGATTCCTGAGTGTCAAGGGCACAAGAATTGTGTTGTTTTTAAGCTACAAGATTAATGGCATTCTGCTCACACCCTTCATATGAAGAATTTTCTTTTACCTGCATGGTTAAATTTCTGAGCCAGAAATCACTGCATTTGTGTTGATAGCTGAGATAGATAAAGCATGTAAGAACATTTAAATGGATTACAGGTCTCTTATGTGACTGGGTGCTCTCCATGCCCAGACCACATTCTGAGCTATGTATGAAATATTGTGAGAAATGTGCCCAGTTGCAATTATGAAAGGGTCATTTGGGCTTCACCTGTAGCCTCACTCAACTCTGCTGTTGCAGAGCTTGTACAGGTACAGTGCTGCAGCTGGAGAAGATTGTTAAAGTCACTGTGTGTGAAGGTCTCTAAGACAAGAACCTAGAGGTACCTGTGAATGTGGTTGTAATTCACACATGTGGATTTTTGGATTAAAAAAACTTTCCCTGCTGCGATGGGAAAAGGCTCAGAAGGGTAAAACTCAGAAAGCCTGTGGGCTGAGATAAAGGCAGTTTAATAAGTAAAGCAAAAGCTGTTCATGCAAGCAAAGCCATGTAAGGAATTAATCCACCACTTGCCATGGGCAGGCAAGTGTTCAGCTGTTCCAAGGAAAGGGCTCTGCCACACATTGTGGTTACCTGGCAAGACAAAAGCCATCACTTTAAAACTCCCCCCTTTCCTTCTTCTTTCCCCAGCATAACAGGCTGAACATGATGTCATATGATATAGAATGTCCCTTTGGGGATTTTGGATCAGCTGTCCCAGCTGTGACCCTTCCCACATTCATGTGCACTCCCAGTCTCTTCACTTGTGGCCTGAGGAGCTGAAAAGACCTTGTTACTGAGCAGTGCTTACACAGCAGTAAACAAAAGATCCCTGTGTTGTCCATGGTGTTTTCAGTGCAAATCCAAAACAACCACATACCAGCTATTACAGGAAAAATTAACTCTATCCTAGCCAAACCAGCACAGGTAGAACATAGATTACTTATCAGAGGTTCTTCTCAAATCAGCCAACTGGCAAATTAATTTACAATTCTCTTTCCTGGTCTTAGAATCCTTTTAGTGCTGCTAGGTGAAAGGGAGCTAACACAAGAATGCTCTGTTTATACTGAGCAGAAGCATGTGTGAGGATGCCTGGGCACACTTGGGGTAGTGTGTAAGTAAAAAGGTAAATCAGTTATCATGATTAATGTTAGAACTAACATTAGAACTAATAAGGTAACACCATAAAAACAAGAAAACAAACACCCCAAAACAGTATAACTAGATTGGGGATGGCCATTGTTTGAAAGTGTTTGGTCCACTGATTATTTTTGGTCTCTGAAAATTCTGAGACGTAGGAGGATGAGTGCTGAGGGTCTGTAAAGGCATTTCCATTATCTAGGACAGAGAATTCCTCTAGTCATGTTTTCCATTGGCTGGAGTTACATAGTTGTCATGGAATATGAGAAGCAGAAATGTAAGAGGCAGCTGGGGCTTCCTAATTTTTTTGGGCCAGCTTTCCGGAAACAAGATAGCTTTTGCAGGACAGTTAAGATTGTGTCCTCTTGCCAGAAGGGAACAGGAGAGAAAACAAAATGCTGTAGATTCATAACAAAGGGGAGTATTGGAGATGGGTATCTCACATTTGCCAGTGTCTCTGAGATGTCCTGCTCCCAATGAAGAGACCCTGCTTTTCTTGCTGCCTTCCATATTCAGGACAAACATTGTGTCAGCCAGAACTGCCTCCTTAACTGAGCACATTGTTCTGTAAATCCAGAGCTTCCCCAGGGATATTTTCTTGCCCTTCTTTCACAGCAATTTCCTAGAACTTGTACAGCTGGGAAGTCTGGATATGGATCTATATTCCAAGACTTCCAGTCCAGCCTGGGTCAGATTGTATGCCTGTGAGTGTGATCACAGCATAGCCTGAGGGAAACAGCTCCCAGCCTAGCCCCATGCTTCTGACACCTTCCTCCCATTTGTTTTTTTTTAGACCTGGATTGATTCCTGCACCTCACCCTTCTTTTCCTCAGTTTCTTATTCAGATCAGAGGAGTGGTTCCAGTGGAATAAGCTAAGCAGGAATTCATTTGCTCCTTTGTTTAGTGACTAGCATTCTAATAAGACACATAATAAGAGATAATGAAATAACACAAAATGAAAACAACACTATATTTTTTCTCTAAAAAGTACTTACTAGCTCATGCTGAAGCTAAGGCATGAAAGAATGGCTGAATTCCCTGGCAGATGTTTCCTAAACAAGATCAGGTGGCAACACCTTGTTATGGCTTTACATTTTTATAAATAATCTTACTGGCAGATGTCCTCATAATTCCCATGATTTGATGGCTATCTTCCATGATAATCCTAGTAAGAAGTCCTGCTTTAATTATTTAATTATTTAATTATTAATTTTTTAAAAATTGCTGCTTACATCTAGGCTTATTGAATTGTTTTTATTGTTTTCCTCCTGCTTTCTTTTCCTCTTGCTTTATGACAATTAATTTCACAGGTGGATGACACTGGACTCTGTTCTGCAAGAGGGGTTGATAAAGTTACCTATTCAGACCTTCCCTGTTTTCTATCTCCTTTCATGCCTTCTCTTTAGAACAGTAATCTGTAATCTCTTGGCTACTGTAGGTCTATATATAGTTAGATGACCTGTGAAATATGGGATTTTTTTGGTTTTTTTGGGGGGGAGGTTTTTTGAGTTTATTTATTTAATTAGCACACACAAAACAAGGAAAAAATGATAAGTTTTCCAAGTGAAAGCTTAGCTTCCGTTATACCACTAATGACAAACAACTGGGCAACACAATTTAAGATAGTTCATGTTGTGTTTTCTGAAGGCTTATGTTAATTTAAAGGTATGCATACCGTTCTCAAACCGTGTTTTTGTTCTGATCACTTTAAACAGCCTTGCATATGATAAGATACTCTTAATTAACATAGCAGATTTGTAACAACTTCAGCTCCTCCTCATATTAAACGTTTTGGGCTGGTTACTGCTTCTGCACGGGTGTTTATCCTTGCTGGTGGGCTGGACCCAGCTGGCATCCAGTGCCTTCTAGCGGCTGGAATCATGCAGAACACGACAACCTACAAGGGCGGCTCACCCTGTATTCCTGTTTGTCTCACTACATCCTTTATTCCTGCCTGCCCTTTCTCAGATCTCACAGCTGTCTCTGTTTCCCCGGCATGCCCAGGGCGCTGGTATATCCGGGAAGGATGGCTTTTGGTGGTGCCTTCAAAGGGAGAAGAACTGAAGCGCAGGATGTTCTTCCTATTCTCTGACATCCTCATTGCAGCGAAGCCCTGCCACCCACTGCACCCACTGAACTCCAACAAACTGTCCTGCCAGGCTGTCTACCCGCTCCAGCAGTGCTCCGTGGATAAAGTGTTTGGCCACACATGGAGCCAGGGAGGGCTCCTCAGCGTAAGTCTTCCCACCTGTGGCAGGCAGAAGTGCCAGCGGAGACAGACATGGAAGCAGGTCTGACAGCTGTCTCAGCAGCAGTGAGACCGAGGTGATGACAGTGGTGACAAAATTAAGTGAGCAAGTCTGAGTTAGGACAACTCTTCTAGAGTGATGCAGGTACTTTTCCTTTCATGGCATGGAGTCTCCTGCACACACTGGAGTTACAGGCTGCTGGTTACTTCACTTAGCTCAGGTAAGGAGGCTCCACTAGGACTCTGATATGCCCTTGGCAGAGCCACAGGTTAGGGAGCAGTCCCACACTCACATGACAAAGAATACATAGCATTACATTGACTACAGACTGAGCACGTAGGAAAACAGAGAATGAAAAAGATATAGATGTTATTACAACAGATGCTGTGCATCTAACTCCCTGAGGGCTGCAGATACCTTCAAAGGGAGGAAAGTTCTGTAATGGGTTCAAGGTTAGTTCTTCCAAGATTGCAGCTGGAGCTGTGTTAGCTCTTTAATGGTGAGCTGTGCCAAAGAACTCTTCAAGCAAGCTGCAACCTGTAGATGATGGTAGTGGAAGGACCCCTAGGGACAGCTTGGCATACGGTAGAAAACTGGCTGAAGAGCTGCTGAGAATTCTAATTGCTCACCTCCAAACAGGTCAGAACGAACTGTCAACTATGACTGGAAGCAACAGACAAGACTGGCACTTACTCTGTACTGTACAGCCTCTGGCTCTACTCCATATTAAGGCTAAATTTTTTCTATCTGGAAAGGAAAAGGGTGAAAATCAGCATGCAGGACTGAATTCAGTGGTGATGATTTTCCTTTTACTGCAATTGCTGCCTTGACAAGGAATGCCACAGATTCTGTTTGTCTTTTAGCTTTCCTTTCCACACAAGACACTGGCCAGGACACAAGGGAATAATAAGGACAGATTTCCCATATTAACTGTGAATTTCCCGTTTTCCTCTACAGGCAGCTGAAAGCCTGACTCTCCCGAGTACAAGACAGACTGGCAGGACAACCACCCTTAAGACAGAAGCTTCCACTATTTTATAAAATGTTCAGGGACATATAGTAGCACTGAATTGAAAAGGACTACACACTGTTTGTGATGATGAATGCTTTGTTAGCTGCACTAATGTTCATACAGATACTGCCAAAAATGCATTTGTATGTAAAAAAAAAAACCAACCTGTATCAAGGATTTTCCCCAATTTAGCTTAGAAGCTTTTAGATTTTTTGTACTTTAGTAAACTAAGATTATTAACTTAAGGTCAAACAAAGGAGAGTATGACTTGTTTTCCCTCATTAAATGCTTTGTTAAAGGTATTTTTGTATTTTATTAAAGCTTTAGTGTGGAAATTTAGTAATGTGGAAGCTGTGCAGCAGTTTGGTTCAGAAAACCAATTTGAGTATGGTAAACTCCAAAGAGAACCATTTCAAGGTTCTTAGAAACAAAGTTGGTCAGAACACTGACCTTGTATAGCAGTTTGACTGTTTTTTTCTTCTTCCTTAAGCAGTACCACCCATCTTTAATTTCTCACTGGCGTTTATTAAAATAGAACTGGTACTGTGTGAGGCAAGTGTCTTGAAGAGAGAATACATAATGGGGCTTCTTTGTCTTTCCATACAATTAGCTTGCTACACAGGGCCACTTATTTAAATCTCTTAGCTTTGTGAAACTTGGGAGGAAGAAATGCAACAAGGTTTTGGAAGCCACACTGGTTCCACTGTATTTTGCCAAGAAGGGTTGGGCCAAGTCCTTTCCAACTGGGTATCCTATCCTGGGATTTCGCGTTTGGGTTGGTTTTGGAGTTTTCACAAAGTTACAGTAGGACTTTCAAATACTAGCTATGCCCCAAATTAAAGACTAACAGTTTAGGATTCTTATTGCTCAGTAGTTGTATCACTCTGAAAAAGTTTTGGTATTCCCCCTTTTAACAGAGTAATACAGAGATGTCTTGCAATCCTGCCTCTCAAGGTGCCTCTGACTTGCACCTGTGTTACTACCCTATAGTAAGACAAGCTTCTTTGGTTGTCTCTATAGAACTTAGTGTTACCATCCTATTGCATTCAGTCCTTTTTAAACAGCATAAGTATCTTATTTCTCACCAAATTTCCCACCCTGAAATGCTGAACACTGGCTCCTAGAACACACTGTTAGCAAACCCAATTTTCTGGAACTACTAACTTATAAGCAGAGGAATTATGCTGAGTCAGGGGAAGTTTATGTAGGCCATTAGCAGGAGTTTCTTCATAGAAAAGGTGAATAGACATGAATTAGCTGTCCAGGAGGTGGTGGAGTCACAGTCCCTGGAGGTGTTAAAAGACTGGATGTGGCACTTAGTGCCATTGTCTGGTTGATGCAGTGGTGTTTGGTCATAGGTTGGATTTGATTACTTCAGAGGTCTTTACTGACCTAAATGATTTTCTGAATACAATTCAAATACAAACAAACTGACTTTCTGAACAAAGTTTATTTACACAGAAAATATCAACCATCAGGGCTCCTAGCCTGATTTCCTTTTCCTGCTGAGTCTCTAGTTACTGGAAGTAAACTCAGCCCTCGCCGTGGCGACTTCCCTCACCCTCCGGCCCTCCTGCCACACCTTCCCTCCCCGAGCCCCTGGACAGCAGCCGGGGCTGGTGCGTGGGCAGCTCCCCCGGAGCCGGCTCAGGGCAGGGGGGGACCCTAGACGGGGGTGCCCCGGGAGGCGGCCGCCCGCTGCGCGTCCTGCCGGTAGCCCTTGNCCCCCGCGCGCCGCGCAGCACGCCGGGAACTGTAGTCCCAGCCACACAACCCCGCAGCCCCGGGACGCGTCAGGGTGGAAAGGCAGCAGGGCGGGACACCTGGGCCAGCCTCCCTCCTCCAACAGGGGCCTGGAGCATACGGCACAGGAATGCGTTCATGCAGCTCCTGAGTACCTCGGATGAGGGACACCCCGCAGCCTCTCCGGGGAATCTGTCCCCGTACTCGGTCACCCGAACTGGCTAACAAGTTCTTCCTCCTGCCCAAGGGGAGCTTCCTGTGCTCCAATTTCTGCTCGCTGTCTCCTGTCCTACTGCTCTGCACCGCTGAGCAGAGCCTGGCCCGTGGTCTGACCCTTCCCTGCAGACACGGACAGACACTGCTGAGGTCCCCTCAGTCGGTCTCCTCTGGAACATGCTTGCGCAGCCTTTTCTCATAAGAGATATTCCAGCCCCTGAATTACTTTTGCCACTCTCCCCTGCACCCGCTCCAGGAGCTCCACGTCTCTCTTGCGCTCAGGAGCCCAAAACTGGACACAGCGCTCCATGCTGAGGAGAGGGACACCTTCCTCACCCTGCCAGCACTGCTCTTCTGCAGAGCTCGGCCTCAGCCGCCGACAGGCACAGGGACAGGCACAGGGACAGGGACAGGCACAGGCACAGGGACAGGCACAGGGACAGGCACAGGGAGAGTGACAGGGACAGGCACAGGGACAGGGACAGGGACAGGCACAGGGACAGGGACAGGCACAGGCACAGGGACAGGGGCAGGGACAGGCACAGGGACAGGGACAGGCACAGGGACAGGCACAGGGACAGGGACAGGCACAGGGACAGGCACAGGGACAGGCACAGGGACAGGCACAGGGACAGGGACAGGGACAGGGACAGGGACAGGGACAGGGACAGGGACAGGCACAGGGACAGGCACAGGCACAGGCACAGGGACAGGCACAGGGACAAGGACAGGGACAGGGACAAGGACAGGGACAGTCCAGGCGGAGCGGGGAGATGCGTGCGGGCGCAAAGGAGCCGGTGTCCCGGAGGTCCTGTAATTCCTGTTAATTCTTTTTAGAACTATCGGATATAAGTTAATTAAACAGGCAGGTTTGTAAATGTCTGACCTTAATACACCGCTGTGTAACCGGTTAAAAGGACTGCATCATCACGTCATACAGCTACCATCTGGCTTTCCCCACACGCACAGATCAAGCAACTGAGATTCTGCTTTCCATGAATTCTTGGCAGTTCTGTTCTGTTACCTTCACACAGTCGCAGAACGATACTACCAGCGGGATCCCCAGCACAACCGGGAACTCCTTTGTCTACCTTTGCATTCCTGGATCTGCTAACCATAGATTTTTGTCTTTAACATTTTGCTTCCACTGTCTACTTTCTCAAACCGAAGACATTTGTTACTATACTATGCCAGCTCGTTTCACAGTGATTTATAGATTCCTTTAATTTTACGTTGTTTACGCGTTTCCCCGCATACCGGCGATCCTGGATGCCGGTGGTGGAGTGGGATCCTGCCAGGGATGATGCGCTGCCAGCCCTGCGGCTGCCCTTGAGGCACTGGGCAGGCGGCGTGGGCTCTGCAGGGAGGAAGGGGCAGGATGGGCTCCTCGCTGGCCCTCAGCTCTCGGACACAGCCCGCAGGATGCTCCTGGGGCTGCGGGGAGGGGCGTGCGAGGGGCAGCCAAGGCCTGGCGGACCCTACGTGTTATTCCCCCTTTGCCGGTGGTGGGATGCCAGAGAGCTCCGGAGCCCCGGATCGCATCCCCGGGATGTGCACAAGCTGCTCACACCCGGCAGCGTGCGGTGGGGCTGCGGGACCCAGCCTCATGTAGCCCGCTGATGTGGCACAGGAGCCACCACCCATCCACAGAGCAGAGGTGGCTGTGTGCTTTATCCCCACAAAGACTGAAACCCACCCCAGCTTGCAAAAGCTCACGCCCCAGAGTCAAACAACTATGACAGTATTGTTCAGCTGCAAGAAAAATGCTAGGAGGCAGCGTAAGGAGATTTCTTGCCATCCCTTTCTTTCTGCCAACATCACTCTTGTTTCAGAGAAAGGGCAATGTGTAACAAAAAAGCAACTACCAACAGTGTAAGAAAAAATATCTTTGTTATTATGAATACATCATAAAATCACAGTCATCTTATACACATTTTAGTATTTCATATATAAATAAAGTGAACAGTATAGTTATTGGAATGTGTAAAAAGAACAAACATATGGATTTTTTAAAATGTGACATTAACAGAGAATTGGACCCCACCCCCACCTTTTGTTGCTGCTCTGGGACTTGGTACATTAACTCTGAAATACTTCTAGGCAGAAGGTTATGCAAGCTGTGATGCTAACAGTAACACCAGGCACTACCCTAATTCCATTTACAATCAATTTTCCTCTCATTTTCCTAATTTAGCCTGACTATATAGGAATTCTTGTGTGCCAGAACTACAGCTTTGCAAGAAAGACTAAACTTTTATGTAATCGGCAGAGTGTTGAAAGAAAACATTTTTCAAGATTCATGATTTTGTTAAACTCATTAACAATCAGAATTTTCTCACCACTACACACTCTTGCAAATGTTCTCATTAAATATATTTCTAATATTAATAAAATAACAAATTCTTTATTATCCTTCTGCTTATAATTTGATGTCTTAACATCAAAATAACATTTCTTTCTAATAAAATTATACATACCATTTATATGAAACAAAGTTGTCATGTGCATGAGCCTGGTAATGAGACTAGCCATGAGTGCAGAAGTTTCTACTTTCTTGTTTTGGGTTCTTGGAAGAGTTTCTTATTTTTGGAGCCACAGAGTAATAAATAATTTGCAAAGTAATAGCTTCTCTGGCTACCAGTAACAAAACTTAAGATTGGAAATGATTCCTCTGCTCTGACTTTCTGAAAGTTTGGGTATGCTGAAGAAAATGTCACTTTTCTGAGTCTTCATGTGTTTACCCCGAAATCTGACTGAAATATTGAAGATACAATGAGTTATCGTACAGGTAATCAGAAATGAGAAAGTTCCATGCAAAGACCTCAGCTGGATGCAGACCAAAGGCTGACCCTTCCCAGCTGGCTGTGCTCAGAGGGACTCTCCCTGCTGCAGAAATTCCTATGTCATGTTGGGTGGTCTTTGCCATAGTGGCCCCTCCTTGCTGCTGGGACTCAAACAGTTTTGAAGCAGGAAATTTGGACAGAGAAGGGTAAG